GACTATAAATAGATGTGGTAATAGTTGTAGGCCTACCTGATGTTACATATTTGATTATATTCACTATAAGTTAATTACATCAACAAATTACTATAACATATTGTTACATTGTTTATATTAACATAGTCAAACATGTCATAGTTGTGGGATTGGTAGAAGTAGGTTTGTTATTTTTATTGCATTATATGTAAGTTATTGGAATCAGAATTGTTGGATTGTTATATTATATGAACTACTCCCCACTATAACAGTGAGTTTAGAATTGAAATTTTTCTGTTATTTAACTAATATTATATTTCTGATATGTTCCATGTCATTAGTCTTACTATGATCATATAAATATAAAGTTTGAAATAAAACTTCAGCAATTTTATCAGCCAAAAAACTATTTGAGACTCTCAGTAGTAATTCAGAGTTGATAAAAATGACCGATAGTAGGAGTTTAGGGTTCGGATCGTTAGTACTTGGTTTATTTATTGTCAAACAGATCAGGTGTAATTTAGCCAGGGTTTAACAATTACAGTAGTTAAAGGGACATTCTGCTTTCTTTGTAAAAGATTTTCATTATTTCTACAGTATGCTATATCTATGTAACTACTTGATCAAACTGAATATTTTTTTTACGGGTTCATTAAAAACTGAGAGTACTAATTGTTAATTAAGCAGTTTAACCTAGTTTTGGTGATTGGCAAGTAATGGCTCGTTATATTTAGTTGCAATCTGTAGACAACATAGGAGACATATTTCTCTACAATTAGGCGTTTATTTTACTCAAATCCGAACAGTAGTTTTCTAAAAGCTTGCAGAAAGCATATAGAACTTTAAAAGGTTATGCGTGAAGTTTTGGTGTGAGAAAATTAACGGCTGGATTTTTTTAGTTAAAACTTTCAGATACATTACAGGATACGTTTCTATAGATTTTGGTTGATAGTTTTCACAAATTTGAGCAAAAAAATATGTCTCTTTAAATGTCAGCTATTGACCAAAAAGTTGGATAAGTTGGATAAGTTTCAATAGTTTATAACCCAATAACATAATATTTCATTTGCACAAAGGTCCTCTCAGGGGGTTAAAGAACAAGTTCTATGGAAAAAGGATAATTCTACAATGCTTATAATTCGCAACTAGCAAGTAATTTATGTCTACTCAACTTTTTAATCCAATTCAGACCAAATATGTATTATTAATCAAGAAGTTAATATAAATGCCTGTTTCAGTTCTGTGAGACGAAGACGAAATATTATATAAATTTTTTTATATATTAAAGAATTGTTAGTTTCCGCAAGTTCTGATTGAAATATCATGTAAGTTTTTTCTCTCTGAGACAATTTTCTTACAAGACTTTGTAACAACTCATTAAGAACACATAGACCTCCTTATAACAATATAACCAACCTACAGTAGATTCATTAGTTCCAGAATTTCATTTCTTCACTCTAGAATTATCCTGCTCCAGGGAATAAACAGATAACTTTATTATCATTCAGCTATTTTCTTCTATCTTTGGGAGAAATCAGTCATATTACTTGTTACCAGCAGTTCAAACACATACAAACTGGTGCTGGTAATTATTCATTGGTACCTGCATGAGTTTTCAGGCATGAAATATTGAAATGATATTGATGGTATTTTTTGGACCTATGATACATTTAACCCCAAAATAATTCACTATTAAATATGCACTAGAGGTATAATGTTTCCTTTACAGTTGGAATAAAAAATATATATGTCAGAATGTAGGCTATGTAATCACTTATTTTCAAAAATGTTTCTGGAGAGAACCCCATCAGATGCTCCATGATAGGTTTACATCTATGGTGTTTCCACAGAGCTGCCACATTTTAAATCTCAACCTCAACAGTTATCCCCCTATTTGTACCCCCAGTCTAGAGAGGTTGGCAACACCACTGACCCTGTTGCTCGTCTCTTTGTACCCCCAGTCTAGAGAGGCTGGCAACACCACTGACCCTGTTGCTCGTCTCTTTGTACCCCCAGTCTAGAGAGGTTGGCAACACCACTGACCCTGTTGTCCCCAAATTTGTACCCCCAGTCTAGAGAGGCTGGCAACACCAGTGACCCTGTTGCTCGTCTCTTTGTACCCCCAGTTTACAGAGGCTGGCAAGACCACTGACCCTATTGTCCCCAAATTTGTACCCCCAGTCTGGAGAGGTTGACAACACCACTGACTCTGTTGTCCCCAAATTTGTACCCCCAGTCTCAGAACACATTTGATCCAAGGTATAAGATTGTGTTCTGAAATACACAAAGACTGTCAGGACTACCAGACTGATTAATATTCTGATATAAAGATTTTATGAAACCAATGTTGTTGATAGAATTAAGAAGATAATAATAATACCATTGATACCAGACTTTACAACTAAAGGTTAGATCAGGAGTTGTTTCAGTTTTATTTACCAGTCCTGTCTGGAACTCTAGGTTTTTAAGCTATACATACAGAGTTATATCTGATTTGTTGATATTTCTTTATTTACCAGTCATGTCTTTTAAGCAATCCGGATATTACGTTGTGTTTACCTGTCCTGTCTGGTGCTGTAGGTTGTTATTTGGTTTTATTTATGTCTTCATACACCATGTAAACAGAACAGCATGGCATTTTTTGAAGTTGATGACTCAGTTAGAATTGATGGAAAAGGGAATGAACCATACAATTACTTGTATAAGTGACCATGGATGGTGACTAAAATATGACTGAAGATTTTGACTTATTGTTACCACTTCAGGGCTTAGCTTTATCTACCAGTCATGTCTGATTTAAGCTGAAGGTTAATGGTTTGGTATATCTATATGAGATAGGGTTGGATATTGTTATCAGATTTTCGCTTTCAGGTGTAACTTAATTCGGTAAGAATATATAAGTTGAGATCTATACAGTTAGATATAGGTTTATCTAAATTATCCCTATCTAGGCCAGTGGTTCCCAACCTATTTCAGCCTTCACACCCCTGTCTTTCACGTGCTCTCTTTCAATCAAAATAAATTCTTCTCCTACACAAGTTGACCACACCACTGACACCCTAGTCACACCCCCCAGGGGGTGGTAATGGATTTATATAAGCTTAAAGCTTGTTTCCAAAACCATATGTTTATCTATATGTATATTGTAATATTTGTAATTCTTGAATAAATATTGTTTAAAAAAGAAAAAAAAAAGGTTGGGAAACCAAGGATCTATATATGAATAATATTTTATGTTATAAGTTTATCTGTCAGGAAGCCTGTATATCTATGAATCAATCTATGAGTTATATAGGATGTACAATATGTTATTACATGATAAATGAAATATAATATTTATTGTATCGTATCATTTGTCAGAGAATGTCATGTGAACAAATTCTTTTAGAATTAAAAATTCAGATTGACACCCAATTCACTCTTATTCAGTACTATTTATAAAGTGTTGAGTTTTAAAAGTGTTTATTTTATGAATTTTTGGAAATAATGAATGTCAGTGAATGATTAAGTTGGAGCTTTACACCCAACTCATCATAATAAGATACCATATATAAAGTGTTGGGTTTGAAGTCTTCATTTTCTTATACATGTATATAGAGGAATAATGTAGTTAAGTAAAGGATCATGTCATATATCATCACCAATCCTTTCTTATCATTACAATGAGATAAGTTTTAAAGTGTTCATTTTATGAATACTGGGAATTAATGAAGTTCAGTGAATGATCAAAATGGAGTTTTATACCATATCCAACATAATTAAGTACAACTTAAGGAATAATGAAGTTCAGTGAATGATCAAATTTGAGTTTTTTAGCCAATTTATTCTCATAAAGTACAACTACTTGTAAAGTGTAAAGTTTTGAAGTGTTAAAAGATTTTGAATAAATTAAGAATAATAATTTCCAACAATTGATGGTCAGAGTTTTGTATTTAAAATGCACATTTTAAATGTTAATTTGATTTAGAAATTAGAAATGAGACAAATTTTTTGTTGATAAATCTTAGACCAAACTAGAATTTGACAATTGAAACATTGACCTGCTGTGTCTCAAGGCTCAAGTCCTTGTACACTGGGAAAAGTGTGGGCTTATTCTTCTACATAGACCATTCCCTTCATTATAAAAAAATCATTTTTGTTTTTTTGACTGAAAATTAACTTTTTATTCATCAAATGTTGAATCTTATTTTTTTGCTGAAATTCATCTTTTTTGACATTTCCTAATTAACTTTTTATGTAAATTTCCAGGTTTTTATGGTGATTGAATAATTAAAATTGGTTACCATGGAGATGACAGAGTTAGATAAGAAGAGTCATTCAAGTCAAGTCAGTAAGGAATCAACTGTAAAGCAACGAAGCAGTGCCTGGAAACGGCTACGGAAACGAATGAGTCGGAAAGGAGTAGTTGAAGTAGATATTGATCACCATAGATATCAGATGTTAGAATGTATTCGGAAAGGAATACGAGATACTCTACTACAACACTCAGATCTCGGTCCCAAGGTACTGATATTTCTCATTTCCACAATTCTACAAGTAGAAATTTAATTTGAGAACAAATTTATCAAGATTTCCATGTTGCATGATAACCATGAACAATATTTCTCATTTCCACAATTCCGCAAGTTCTTATTTTAGTTGAGTACTACAAATTCTGACATAAGTCGAACACACAGAAAGACAAGGCTGAATTATCCTATACGATATTTTGTCTTTATTAGATTTACTTACTGTCGATTGGGTAATCACTTGTATTAATATTAATCATACACAGTTGTAATCTGTGGCGGCAGTTGTTAAAATCAAGAACTTTGAGTCCTACTCTCTATAATCCCACATATTTTTACTGGGTCCTGATTAAAACAACAGTTTATTTTTACTGGGCCCTGAATAGAACAATAGTTTATTTTTACTGGGACCTGATTAGAACAACAGTTTATTTTTACTGGGTCCTGATTAAAACAACAGTTTATTTTTACTGGGTCCTAATTATAACAATAGTTTATTTTTACTGGCCCTGATTAAAACAAGTTTATTTTTACTGGGTCCTGATTATAACAATAGTTTATTTTTACTGGGTCCTGATTAGAACAATAGTTAATTTTTACTGGGCCCTGATTAGAACAATAGTTTATTTTTACTGGGCCCTGATTAGAACAATAGTTTATTTTTACTGGGCCCTGATTAGAACAATAGTTTATTTTTACTGGGTTCTGATTAGAACAACAGTTTATTTTTACTGGGTCCTGATTAGAACAATAGTTTATTTTTACTGGGCCCTGATTAGAACAATAGTTAATTTTTACTGGGACCTGATTAGAACAATAGTTTATTTTTACTGGGACCTGATTAGGACAACAGTTTATTTTTACTGGGTCCTGATTAAAACAATAGTTTATTTTTACTGGGTTCTGATTAGAACAATAGTTTATTTTTACTGGGACCTGATTAGAACAATAGTTTATTTTTACTGGGCCCTGATTAGAACAATAGTTTATTTTTACTGGGACCTGATTAGGACAACAGTTTATTTTTACTGGGTCCTGATTAAAACAACAGTTTATTTTTACTGGGTCCTGATTAAAACAACAGTTTATTTTTACTGGGTCCTGATTAAAACAACAGTTTATTTTTACTGAGTCCTGATTAGAACAATAGTTTATTTTTACTGAGTCCTGATTAGAACAATAGTTTATTTTTACTGGGTCCTGATTAGAACAATAGTTTATTTTTACTGAGTCCTGATTAGAACAATAGTTTATTTTTACTGAGTCCTGATTAGAACAATAGTTTATTTTTACTGAGTCCTGATTAAAACAATAGTTTATTTTTACTGAGTCCTGATTAGAACAATAGTTTATTTTTACTGGGTCCTGATTAGAACAATAGTTTATTTTTACTGAGTCCTGATTAGAACAATAGTTTATTTTTACTGGGTCCTGATTAGAACAATAGTTTATTTTTACTGGGTCCTGATTAGAACAATAGTTTATTTTTACTGGGCCCTGATTAGAACAATAGTTTATTTTTACTGAGTCCTGATTAGAACAATAGTTTATTTTTACTGGGCCCTGATTAGAACAATAGTTTATTTTTACTGAGTCCTGATTAGAACAATAGTTTATTTTTACTGGGCCCTGATTAGAACAATAGTTTATTTCAATTTTTTGTCTGTACAGACTTGACAATTTCATTATTACATTATATTCTGTACTTGTACCTTATAGATTAAACTGATATAAAACAATAGTTATTGCCCTTGACGAACTATATTATCTTATTACAGGAAGATTATCATGAAGAAGATTATAGACATATTGTATCACAGAAAATAAACACAGAAGATGGCAAGGTATGTATAGTTAAACAGATATAGATTGTATTGATCATATCTAAGACAAATACTCAGTATCAGAATTTTTTTGTTTTGTTTTTAAATATGGAAACAGTTAGATTGACAGATAACAGATTATAATATAGATTAAAATAACTTTGTATTAAGCCTCTCAGACTTTTTGTTCCCCTTGAGACCTTTTGAAATTGCTAACACCCACTCTTTGTAAATAAGCATGGTGAAAAGAGTCCCTATTCCAACTGAATGCCATGAGATTCCTGAATAATCCTCAATAATCAAACTATTTTCTGTGAGGCTTCTAAGTTACCCTCTGAGATGCTGATTGTATTATTCTATAGAGGAGACATTTTCTGTCAAAGGGGTGCAACTCATACATACAAAATTGGTCAATTCAGCTGCAGACCAGTGAGCTAGACTTTCTTTTTGTCTGGTAGTTGTCTTCTAAAGTCTTGGACTTAATGGTTAATTTCCCAGGGATTTAAAATGAAGGGGATTTTTAGCTTGAACAGTAAAAGGAAGGCACTAGAGGTTAATAATAACAGATGATACAGTTGTCATTTTAGAACCTTGGTTCCTAGACTTTTAGACCATCTTTTTGATAACGTTTGTACTCATGTATCCTTGGTTGAAGCCAGGGTTTTAGAAAATGAATGAGTTAAAGTTTGAGGTGATTGTGAAATACTGTCAGCAAGTAGTCTCTAGAGTAAAAGATTTATAACTTGTTGAAACTAATGTTGGATTTACCTCATAGTTTTTATAACATTCCCCTGATACCCATTAACTTTATATAAAATCTAGTTCCTTATAAACTGTTGCTATTTATAGTCCGTCTCCAGCATTAATGACTCGCTATATTAACTATCGCTATATTAAAACATTCACTGTTTCACAGTTAAATACTCAACCTATATAATTACTTCTTAATGCATCTTTTCAAATCTCAAGTCAGGCTATTATGAACTTCTTCTACCTTGACTGCAATTGCCACCTTTCTTCTATCATGGAATGGAGCAATTTGATTGGACGAAACTAGTGATACTTCTTAATGCATCTTTCAAATTTCTATGTCGTCTTCTACCTCGACTGCCATTCTTCTTGCACGAAACTAGTGTATACAGCTAATCTGAGCCCTTGACTGACTGTAAACATTTTGGCTTATTGTTTACAGACTTTCTGTTGAGGCCTCTGATTAGCTGTATTCCTTTGCACACAATCCAATCAAATTGCTGCATTTACAGACTACCATAATACAAGAAAGTTGGCTAGTGCAGTCTAGGTATAAGACAAAGACAATATCACCTGATATTAACCCAAACATAGTTCTCTACACACCTAGCATTGCTAATCTCTTTGATTTTGAAAATGGTCGAAGAATACTAATAACCCATACATTCTCTCTAAAGATGGGTTCCCTTATATTCATTTATGAAAATGAAAAAAATGCTAATACTTACATGAATAGAAAGTAGAGGTGTTTTAATGACTTGGAATAATACCAGTTTGCCTAACATGTCCATAATTAGTTCATAATTAGCTACCTTTGAAGAGAATTACCAGCAGAATTCCAAAGAGTGACTGATCAAGAAAGGTCACAAATTCTTTTTTTGTTTATCTAGACCCTATGTTCATGGACATTTATGATTATAATAATAATATGCAATAAGAACATAATGATATGATTAAGAAATACACGATAATTCATTAGAAACACCACTTAATCAAATAGTTTGCTAAAAAACATAAGGAAACCCATCTTTAAGACTGCTGTGTAACTTTTATTCTGGTGTATGTAAAACAGAATCAAACACATCATTTACTTAAAAATCAATTTTGAATTCCATTCATTAAAGTCTTCTACTTGAATTCACTCACGATGTAAGAATTATAGAATGTTTAGTGACAAGTGACCTAATTATATTGTAAATAGAAAATAACATCTTGAAATCTCTGGAGGTCAGAAGGTGACTAATTCCTATGGAACTAACTTAGCTCAATAAATCAAGTTGATCTTTCTATCAGGAGTGTTGAGTCAGTTATATTTACCAGTCATGTTGGGCATTAACTATGAAAAAAACAAAAATAGGAAGGGACTAGTGTGAATGATACTTTATGGAACTGACAGAGCTCAATGAATCAAGCTGATCTGTGTTGAGGAGTATTGATATGGTTGCATTTACCAGTCATGTTATAAAATATATATATTTGCTGAAATCATACCCCTCAAGAAAGCAACCTTTAATACAGGCAGATGGAGGACACACAAAATATTAAATACTTAAGAGAAAAACTTAAATAAATACTTGTTCTGAATCACTTTAAGCTAAGATTCCATATACGCAGTAAGCCGTAGTGGCATGCCTTATGGATTATCCGGCAAAAATGAAAAAGCATGTAAATTGATTAAAAAATGATTAAAATGCAGATCTCGATGATCCAATTTGTGCACATTACTACATGATGATCTGACAAGGTTTTTCTTTTACTGTTATTCTGTGGAATTTTGACCCACCATAAATCAATTCTTAACATTTGGCTAATATGTACTTGATTATGGCTATATAGAATGAATTTTAACAAAATATTTCCAAGCTTGAAATAGATTTATATAATATCATTTATCACAAATATCAATGGAAATGAAAGAAAAACAGACTAGATAGAATGAAAAGGACAAAAATAGAAGGAAAGACCAAATTAAATGGAAATTAATAACAGTTCTAAAAAATAGACAACTGAACTGAGGGATTTTGGAGGCATTTAGAATAGTTAAAAATAAAAAATCACATTGGAACCTTCCTTGATGATAGAAGAAATAATTTGATACCATTTTAATGCTGAAAAGTAGCCTACTATGAAATGCTGAACAAATTAGAAAATATTTCATAAGGTAACCTTCCCTCAAAGTCTTCTTTTTCTAATATTAAACATTATTGCCATGTCATGAATTGAAAGACAATGAATTGAGTCAACTGGATGCCAAGTCATGTCTAACAAACTGAGCCTGTTTTATTTCAGTTACATTACTATATTAGATTTATTTCACCAAAGTCAATTGTTCAAGCTTACGTTTTGTCAATCAGTTTTTTTAGTCTGGCAGATATTTTAATCTATTAGTTTCTAGCAATATAAGGAAAGTCAATAGACATCTGAACCTATATTTCTGTTCTATTTTTATCTACATCCAGGCTACATTTAATCTTTATAGATTTGATGGAAATTTATTCCTGGTGAAATATGATGAAAGTTATAAAACAGTTTTAAATTCTGTCTGTTTTTATGTCTCAGACTCAGTTTGTCTTTTTTATTATCAATGTTGTCAATTTTCCAGTTAAATCTGATTTGATTTGTTATTTGTGGTTAGACCTCCTGTATTGGTTATTATGTAATAGTTAGAATACAGAGGATTTCAAACTGGGGGTAATTTGGAATTTTGGGATCTAATGAGGTGCATTGTAGCCTAGCATAAATTTTTTAGACAATTATAATTCAAGCTGATCTATTCAGTCAGGCTATATTCTCTGATAATGCAGAGAAAAACTAAGAAAAAATCATGAAATAGTAAAGAGTTATAGTAGGTAGGGGTTAATGTAATGGATCAATGATTCTAAAAGGGGTAATCGAAATTATGTAAAATATTTTGTGGTAAAGAAATGGCAGATCAAAATTACTGAGAACCTAACCCTAGCTGTCAGTCATATAAGGCCACAGAATTTCTTAATGAAATTAATTTTCACTCATTAGACAATGTAGCAAGTGCTGATTAGATGAAAATGTGGGCTAGGTTCTAAGCTCTTTAGACATGTAACTAGACTTCACAATTTATTACTATAGCCTACAAACATAGATAACTAATCTAGACAGGGTGTATCTAATCAAGGCATATATAACAGAAGTAAGCTTAACTCGAGGCATATATAATAGAAGTAAGCTTAACTCAAGGCATATATAACAGAAGTAAGCTTAACTCGAGGCATATATAATAGAAGTAAGCTTAACTCGAGGCATATATAATAGAAGTAAGCTTAACTCGAGGCATATATAATAGAAATAAGCTTAACTCAAGGAAGTAAGCTTAACTCGAGGCATATATAATAGAAATAAGCTTAACTCGAGGCATATATAATAGAAATAAGCTTAACTCAAGGCATATATAATAGAAGTAAGCTTTACTCAAGGCATATATAATAGAAGTAAGCTTTACTCAAGGCATATATAATAGAAGTAAGCTTTACTCAAGGCATATATAATAGAAGTAAGCTTAACTCGAGGCATATATAATAGAAGTAAGCTTAACTTGAGGCATATATAATAGAAGTAAGCTTAACTCGAGGCATGTATAATAGAAATAAGCTTAACCCGAGGCATATATAATAGAAATAAGCTTAACTCAAGGCATATATAATAGAAGTAAGCTTTACTCAAGGCATATATAATAGAAATAAGCTTTACTCAAGGCATATATAATAGAAGTAAGCTTAACTCCAGGCATATATAACAGAAGTAAGCTTAACTCAAGGCATATATAATAGAAACAAGCTTTACTCAAGGCATATATAATAGAATTAAGCTTAACTCCAGGCATATATAATAGAAATAATAGAAGTAAGCTTAACTCGAGGCATATATAACAGAAGTAAGCTTAACTCAAGGCATATATAATAGAAGTAAGCTTAACTCAAGGCATATATAATAGAAATAAGCTTAACTCAAGGCATATATAATAGAAATAAGCTTAACTCAAGGCATATATAATAGAAATAAGCTTAACTCAAGGCATATATAATAGAAGTAAGCTTAACTCCAGGCATATATAACAGAAGTAAGCTTAACTCAAGGCATATATAATACAAATAAGCTTAACTCAAGGCATATATAATAGAAGTAAGCTTAACTCAAGGCATATATAATAGAAGTAAGCTTAACTCGAGGCATATATAATACAAATAAGCTTAACTCAAGGCATATATAATAGAAGTAAGCTTAACTCAAGGCATATATAATAGAAGTAAGCTTAACTCGAGGCATATATAATAGAAGTAAGCTTAACTCGAGGCATATATAATACAAATAAGCTTAACTCGAGGCATATATAATAGAAGTAAGCTTAACTCAAGGCATATATAATAGAAGTAAGCTTAACTCGAGGCATATATAATACAAATAAGCTTAACTCGAGGCATATATAATAGAAGTAAGCTTAACTCGAAACATATATAATAGAAGTAAGCTTAACGCGAGGCATATATAATAGAAGTAAGCTTAATGTTTTTATGTCCTACTAGTTTTATTTAATTTAACTAGTAAAGGTAGACAAAGTCAAGAAATTTTACTAGTATATCAGTATCAGTAACTCTTGAATCATTTTCCAAATGATCTATACCATGTAGAACCTGTACCACACATGACTTCTGTGTATTATCCAACTCATATTGGAAGTTGAATCAATTTTCTCAATAGAAAAATAAATCCTCAACTTTAGCTGGAAGAAGTTCAGGAATATCTGAAAACAATGGCTGAGGAATAGGAGATGACATCAAAATCCAAAAGTTGTGGCATAAAGTAGCAATAAAAAACATTTTATACCAAAATATTATTTTTTGTTTTTAATGAGATGCCTGTATTTGTCAGTAGTCAAGAGTTAATGCCCTTGCTACTCTCAACCCAAGATTTTTTTTGTTAAATTTCTTTGGTATTTGGATAACATGAAAAAGTATCATGGGTTTTTGAAGAACTTGACAATCTATTATTTATTTATCTGTTTCTTACAGGAGTTTGTGTTTGAAAGTTATGCCAGTTCAGTGTTTGCTGCTGTACGAAGGGCTGTTAATTTAAGTGAAGATAATTATCTCAATTCTGTAGCTCCGCCCCAATCACCTTATTTAGAATTTATCAGCAATTCAAAAAGTGGACAAGATTTTTATTTAACGTAAGTATATGGTTTATTATTTTTCTGTCATGTAACTGATAAGAAAGCAGTTTTGCTATATCTATTTGTAAATTGCTACATACACTTAAAGTTATAGAAAACTCTTGAGGTTCTAACATAGTAGAAAGAGGGCTTGAATAAGTGGAAATATTGTATAGTTTCAGACGACAATTTGAGGAAATTAGTGCCTTTTTTAGCCTTATACCTTATAGATTGGAGTTTTCCAAAATATTTTATGCTTCCCATCCTAATAAATATAGAATTCTTGTTTATGGACATATACTTTATATCTTACAATATATTCATTTTGAACATTAATTGAGCACCATTAACTATGCAGAAAACCAACATGCCATGACAGCTTCCAGTCAAAACATTTTTATTAACATTGATATAACTGAGCTGAGCTAGACAATACAAATTACCATATAAATAACATGAAGTTGATATATTTAAATTAGATGTTGATGTGAACCCAGATGTTACCATAGTTAAATAGTATAACATTATCTTGTCCATTTATCACAACCTATTTTATTTAAATCATCTAAAATCAGCAATGTTTTAAATATATTTAGATAGAATAATATAGTATTTTCACTGTTAATATAGTGCTCTATACATCAATATATCAACCCTGTTGTTGATTGTACCCTGATTTTCTTATGGGTTACTGCCAAACTATTATTCAGAGTTATTGCCTTGAACATATTTCTGTAGAAATAACATTGGTAAAAGTGAAGTAGATAAAAAAATTATTGAGACTTTCCAGGGGTTAGATAATGTATTGATTAACAATAACTGCCAGTGGCATATTGAATGTATAATTCAATTCAATTGATATAAATGAAATGAATTGAATGGAGTTTTACTTCCTACTTTTCTGTCAATAGATATAAGAAAGAACAACATTATTTAAGTGAGAGCATGCTAAGAGTTATTGCCCTTGACATATTATTTGTATATTGTAGGAATGATATGCAGTATATATTTAAAACTGATAAGAAATATTGTATAGATTATTTTATATCTATTATAGGGTAAGAATTTTCTCTTTTCAATCTATTTCCATCTCAAGTCCAACATTTTCAGCTGAATTTGAGCAATAAGTACAATGTAGCAAGCAAATTAGGGATTGCTCACCATTCTCAATATGTTCAATAGTCCAATTAGATAAACACTTGAACCAATGTAAATGAACAAGACTGTTTGATTCTTGCAAACTATGAATTTTGAATTTATTTTCTATTTTAGAGATTATTTAAACCATTTTTTAACGTACCCACACTCTCTGATAGTGAAATTTCTAGGTTTATATTCTATCAATATACCAGGAGATCAGAAGGTTCGTCTATTTATTTTTGATAACTTATTCTTACAAGTAGAGATTAGAGGGTTGCTAATTACAAGCAACTACCTGTAGTCACCATTCAACATGCTGAACAAGTCGAGTCAATCAGAGGCTAAGTTTGGAAGTAAGACTAATGATGAATTTAGAAAAAAACAATTGTTTACTCTTTTAATGGAATGGCTAATATAATTACTTTCACAGCCCATTATTCATATATTTATAATCAGTATGAACGATGTTGGTATACATCTTATTATAATGAACAGGGACGTAAATCTTGACCCTTACAATTCTCTCTCTCACTTGAGGTTCCTGTGCTTGTGCTTTCGTAACATTACTTAACAGAAATGTAACAACCTAAAATTCCTAAAAATTCCCTTCTCCCTTCACTATCAAATTCAGTCTAATGGAGACAGCAAGATGTCAAATTACAGCAACTCTCTTATTATTTTATTTCAGAAATATTTTTTAGTGATGCAGAGTATATTTTATCCAAGTCATCGTATTGAAGAACGGTACGATGTTAAAGGATGTTTAGCTGGGCGTTATCAGAAGCCACGCCCACCTGGTAGTACCGTAGTAACTGTTTATAAAGATCAAAACTTCGTAGATCAATCCCTTGATTTAGGTGAGTAGTAAGTCAATGTGACACCCTAAAAATTCCTTTCATGTTGTTCAAGTCTCCCGACTTTGCACCCAATCTCCAGATTTTTCAAGGCAAATTCTCTAGATTTTTTTTCCTGACCTGTACACATGATGTGTTCAACATCAATATTCTGTTTTTCAAAAAATAATATGATTCAATTTAACAGTTTTACAATACTTTATTGATGAACTGTTGTCTTCAAAGGCCAGATCCCTTGAGGCAAATATCGCTGTTTGGGCAAAATTTCTCTCATTGCACACTGTATAATGCCTGATTTATCACCATTTGGTAAAATAATTATTCTTCCAGATGGTGTTAATGTCCATTTTACATTGCCTGACTAATAGTTATAATTGTAGTGGCTCAGCCACCATAGGGACTGGTTTAACCACGTCCATGGACCCCAACCATCTAGTTGCACAACAATCAACTGTTATATAATCTTTCAAATTATAGGAACTCAGGGTGAATGGTTTATAGAGCAGCTAAAAGCTGATACATTATTTATGAAAGAACTGGGTGTTCAAGACTACAGTTTATTAATTGGTAGACAGATTCGTCATGTTGATGAACAGAAAGAGACATTTCCAAATTTAATCGAACGTTTGCAAAAGTAAGAATGTTTTTAATGTACAAATCTTGCACACCTTGTGCTGAGTTCAAACCTTATAATTGTTCTTACTATTAATATTGATATCGTGAATTTAAATATACCATTAATATTGATATCATGGATTTAAATATACCATTAATATTGATATCGTGAATTTAAATATACCATTAATATTGATATCATGAATTTAAATATACCATTAATATTGATATCATGATTTTAAATATACCATTAATATTGATATCATGAATTTAAATATACCATTAATATTGATATCATGAATTTAAATATACCATTAATATTGATATCTTGAATTTAAATATACCATTAATATTGATATCTTGAATTTAAATATACCATTAATATTGATAACATGAATTTAAATATACCATTAATATTGATATTATGAATTTAAATATACCATTAATATTGATATTATGAATTTAAATATACCATTAATATTGATATCATGAATATAAATATCAGACATATGATAAGATAATGTGCTAAGTAAATATAACTAAAATCAATCTTAGTTTATTATTGTTGAATTGTTTCCATGTAAAAAGGACCGGCAATTTTCTTAGTAAAGAGAAAGAAATTATGGTTTTTTTTTCAAATTTCAGATCACATATCCTCTCACAATCTCCTACCCATAATTCCACAGACAATGACGATACAGCAGATAGTCCAGATCAACCAGATGGAAAACAACCTGAGGGAAAATACACTGGCAAAATTGGAAAGATCACTTTTCCTAAATCACTGGTTGATAAAAGCTACCTAGACGAGATTAATATGTCCAATAGAAGACTCTTACCTAATTGTAAAAATGCATTACATATTATAGACGGACCTGAATATCGTTATTTTCTCGGCATCATAGACTTTTTTACCCTGTACGAATATCGTCAAAGAGCTGGACGTGTAATTAAAAGTATCAAATTGTGCTGTGGAGATCATTCCACCATTCCTCCAGGCCCTTACGCTGATAGATTTCTACGATTTATTACAGAACGAGTGAAATAGATGGATTTTTTGATACCAATAATTTATTAATCAAATTACCAAATAATCTTTTTATACTGTGTTTAGAAAGTCTGGTTCTTGAATAAGTTTTCTTTCAGTATAAATACAGTCAAACTGTAAATCCATGAAAGATTATTTTGTCAATGACCAGCTGGTAGAAAATATCCTTGAAGTAGTTGTTATATGAATATGCTGACTTGCATAATAAACAATCAAAAAATAAATCTCATCTGAAAAATATTGCCTATTAATCTGGAAAGGATTTTTTTTTAAGAATTTTAGAGAAATTTAGATTTTGATTCAAAGTGTAAGTAACAAAAGGATTTTTCTCAATATCTGTTTGACTATGTGCTTGTATCAAGATTCTCTTTTAATGGTAGATCTGAAGTACCTCCTATTTAATTTGTGTTCAAGATTGTTTTGAACTTTAAACTTTGACCTCTTGCAAGGATTTTGTCCAATGAAATACAGCTCTAGACATCATTATTTCAATCTCAATTTCTATTAATTTAATTTTTTTGAATTTTTTCTGTGACCTCAAAAACTTTATGTAAGTTAATGAAATATTGATCTTTTAATTTATGACAATTTTAATTACATTTTATTCATTTTAGTTATTGTTTTTCTTCATGTTATTAAGTTTTAAGTGCTATGATATTGTTATTTTGCATTTCTGGGAGGTTATTATGACTTATATCCCAAATATCAATCATGACATATTAATATGATAGAAATCAAACCTTCATATTAACTTGTTTTTATTCTTAAATGGGAAATGAAATGAAATGAAATGAAATGGAGTCTTACGTCCTTTATGGGTAATGAAATGAAATGAAAACAGTTTTACGTACTAAATGGGAAATGAAATGAAATGAAAAGAGTTTTACGTCCTTGATGGCAAATGAAATGAAATGAAAAGAGTTTTACGTCCTTCATGGGAAATGAAATGAAAAGAGGTTTACGTCCTTGGTGGGAAATGAAAAGAGTTTTACGTCCTTGGTGGGAAATGAAATGAGATGAATAGAGTTCTACGTCCTTCATGGGAGTATATACCAACTTCAAAATAATAAGAATTGTAAAAAGAATATTTTTAGAACACAGATTATCAATTTCAGTTAAAATTCTTAAATCAATTCCTAATTATCATCAACAGAAAGGGTAATACTTGTTTTATGAACTGAATTTGCAGTTATAATTCTGCTTTTAGATAATTATATCTATTAATAGTTATCATATATATATATATTTCAAGTATACCAAGTACATCTTATATCCAACATTTAATTTTGGGTTCTGTTTTGCTAAAGATACAGTCAAGTTGAATTAAGGACTAGACCTAGTCTTGGAAGAATATATAAACCTTATTCAGTAGTAGTTATTTTATATCATAGTATTTTTCCTAAATGGTTTAAAGGGGTTCTCTAGCCTCTATATGTGCATCAGGGGACTTTCTGTTTTTTTATTTGCACACAGTAATGCACATTCTTGTCATATTTTCAAGAAACAACCAGAGAATTACCAAGGCTAGGACAATTGTTTTGAATTCGATAGATATATATTTTCAACTTCCTTCCAATTATTTATTAATTTTATCCAGTCGATATTATATTTATTTAATTGCAAATGTTTTGTTTTCATAACTGTATTTATTTTACTGAAAACTCTTTTTATTATTTTGTTAATGTAGCATGCTGTTTTAGTATTATATGTGAGTTTAGAAATGTACTCATTTCTGTCTTAAAATATAGAGAACCATCAGATCGAATATTATACATTGTTATTGAACTTACTGATGCGAAAACAGTACCACAATTGAATTCTATCTTTGTAGTCTATAACCTTCTGTTTCTAAAATGGAACATCAGTGAAATATCTATGAATCATTAATGAAGGGGCTGAATCGGACCAAAGAATTGTCTAGGAGTGCTCACAGTACCAGGCAATTAAGAACGCAATGATAAGATATTTGAAAGTGGAGTTTGGGAAGAGGGGAATTTCGAGGTAAAGCGAAGGCCGTCTTTTTCTGAGGGAGCTATACCCCCACCCCAGTTCCGTATTTATAACATTAATTGATATTCTGGTGATGAAAAGATATACTTTTGACCTCTTTTAGTTTTATTAGAGCTGTTTATATTTATGTTATTATTTTGCTTTTTTTGTATCTCAAAACTATAAAATGTGACAATTATTATAGCCTCCTCTAGTTGTGTGCCAAATGATCTGTTTCATATTCTCTATTGTATTTATAATATACTGTATAATTTATAATATGGTATTGACTTCTCTTCCCTACCACCAGCCTGGAGTGAGTTTTAAAGACGTTCCCAAGCAATTGTTGTTTTGTACTGAACTGCTGGTGATATATCAATAGTTACTATAGAATGTAAGACGGAACTGTTTTAAAACGGTTTTATGAAAACATACAACTGAACTTGAGAAGTTTTTGAGACAATTTTAAATTTAATTATTATTTAGGATGGAATAATTTATTTAAACTTTTCAGTCTACTGTTCGTAAATTACATGAAATTTTGATGATTTCTTGACACTTATCCCACCCCATGTGTTAACATTAGATCTTCTATTGGATGGAAAGGTTTTCGTTCCTTTTTCAAAATCATTGATTTCATAATATTGACGTCACCAAAAATTCAACCCAACCGATATTTTTATTTCCTATTAAGATCTTCGCATTTAACAATATTAGGCGTGGGCCTTGCCTCCTGACCCCCTGACCCCCCTGTAGCTACGGGCCTGCCTCGTGTTAGTAATTCTGATGAAACACAGACAATACAAAACTATTACATAATCTCCAATGGCTTTATTTAAGAAAATATCGCAAATATTATAATAAAAAATACTGATTGAAATCATCCAAAATAAACATAATAAAATAGAGCTATACCCAGTAAAAATATGGTGGCTAGATTGGAGCCCCATTTCCATGTTAAAGTTTGGCTGATCGAGATCATATCGTGATGGACTACGGTATGGCTCATCAACCCTGCCTTGGACTCTTCATCTATACCACAGACCCAGTTTAACATTCTTCTTGGTATACTCACTGACGCTGAAATATAAACAACATGCCCTAATGCAATAAAATTGACTAGAGTTCATCTCATTGAACTAGTGGGCTAGACCGAAACATCTACTTCTATTCAAGCTTCTGAATGCTATTTTGATCCTATTCCAGTCATCAACTGTCATAATAACTATCAGAGGCTGGAATAGATGCAGATGTTTCGATCTGACTGTGGACAGGTGCTTGGATGTAATATCCTCATCATAGCAACTTCATTGAAGATAGAGATGAATTCCATTTTTTCAATATTTAATCGAGTGACAAAGTAGGTATGCGAACCCACTGAACAGAAGTCAAGATGAAGAAAATAACACAATGACACCATCCGAACACCTATTTAGAGAAGTCATATCACCAAACATATTACTACCAACATCAATATTAACAACCACGGTGTTGTTACGGACAAGATGTTTTATTTTGGGAGGCACAAACCATTTGGATTACAAACAAACTATTGTACTATTTGCGATCGTGGACACATTGATAACCAGTATTGAACAACCATAACATCTTCAAAATTTCGCGCAATATGGTAAAGTTTAATCCAAGACTATATCATAAGCAGCAAAATTAAGTCTGGCTACGGGCCTGGTAAGTAGTAGCCACCCACCTTTATCAGCAGATCTATGTTTCTCTTCAGATTCTGAGCACCGAGTTTGCTGTTCGTCCTCGGCATTTTTATGTTCGTGATGATCGTGCATTAAATGTTTAGCCACATCTTTGATATGGGAGAAATGTTGGAGTTCGACTGGTTCCGGATCGTCCTCAAATACCTCGTCCTGTCCACCATTATTATTGCCATTCTGTTTATTTTCTGGATCAGTTGGTAAAGACGCCGTTGATTCTACCCCTCTCATCCATTTATCTATATTCAAACATTTCTCTTTGCTATGTCTCGTCCACCACGTTAAACGTTGCAGCTGAATTTATAGAAATAACAATACTCATTACTTTGCATTGGCCAGAATAAAATCTAAGACACCAAATTGTCACATTCTGCCTAAGGAGACAAACTTGATGTATAAGATGAAGACAACTTTGAAATAAAAATAAACTGATAAGGACGGAATGGGGTGTAATTTTCTATTTCTTTGCACCTCGAATGCAACTTGAACGTTTAGAAAACAAAAAAAAATTGCATGAGCTTTCAGAGACTATTGTTTTTCCTCCATAGCCCAGAAGGTGCAAAAAAGTAGGACGTAAAACTCAATTCATTTCATTTTTATACTTGTGACAACTCATGAACACCCTTTGGTAACATCAGATGCTAAGCTACGAGTTGTTATCTCAACAACATTCTCTGAATAGGGTTAATAAACCTGGTAGTTTTGTCGTGTGAAATTTTGATGTATGGTTTTGGTCTCATGTCGACATGATAGTTTCGACATCCCTGTCTTTTATAAACCACAAAATCTTGCTCATACTTACACATCGTTTATCAATAGGTTTAGTAATGAGACTGATGACTATAGCGCAGATAGAGGTTAATATGAACAGAAAGGCTGAGAAATACAGGTAATGAAAATTTTTGATTATGGACGGGGTGTGGTCTATTTCATCACTATCACAGGCCGGTACTCGATACGAATATTCCACTATAAATCTGATCAATCCTGTACCCATACCGATTAGTGTGGCGTAAAATGCTCCCTGAAAAATAAAACCCAATATGGAATTGCCATTGTGATACAACTGTGCTCTAAGAGCTGGTAGTAACTTGGCTTGCATCTTTTCTTTCATACTATGTCTACACCTTATTGGCCAATCTGTCTTAGGGGGTTAGTGCAATTGATTATCAAGTTGTATGCAACGTTTCGACGTACTTCTCCTGTTATCCTCCGCTACACGAAGCTGTGTCTATGTATCGCACTTAAATTGCCCTTAAAAGGCTTTGAATATTTTATGTCGCAATGCATTTGACGTATCTGTTTAAATTGCTTGATCGTATGCTGATTAACGTTTATGGTCGTCGTCTTTGTTGTTCGCAATATTAAAGGGAAATAACCCATACAATTTAAATGAACAGACTATGTGTATGTTAATGTTACTTCTAACACAGTACTCATTTTCTGAATTGCGGCTTATGAAGCTTCTCCTTGCCCGTGATAACTCCAAAGAGGTATGACAAGCAACTATGCCAAGCAACTATGACAAGGAACTTATGAGGTACCTGTTCATTCAGTCTAGGCCAGAATATTCCGAGTAAAAATACAGCACATATAGGAGGCTGTAAGAAGCTGGACACCTCTTGGATATAAACATACAGATCTGATCCCTGGCTAGCTTTTAACACTGGTATCCATATAACACTGATTACCACTAACACCACTACAAATACCCTGAAAAAATTGTAATGGTACAATCATGTTGTATCTAGACTGGCTAATGGAAAGGGTAACACAGCTTATTTCGGTGAACTGTCTTTAACTCTTAAGTCTAATGTCGAAAAAACAACCAGGAATTCAAATTTGAATGAAAAATGACACATCTCAAATACGTATTAGCAACATAAACGACGTTAGTATCAATACAATGTACATTGAGAAATATAGTTAAACCAAACATCAATGACAATTCACACAATGTTTTCCATTTTCTTCGATTGTCGCCAATAGAGCCAAACCAAGATAAAGACATGATAATATCTCAACTAGTATGATCTGCCGCTTATGAAAAACTGTTGGAATTTAAATTGTAGTTTTGGTCGTTCTCAGAATATCGCAGGTATTACGAAAGTTAAATATCTAGGAATATAAAGGTCCAGGTTGATATTGAAAATACTCCACCTGCCTACAATCATAATCTCCAGTTCGGAACATTTCCTTCTAACTTTGGTCCAAATATCCATTGCAAATATGGTGCTACTAGAGTTAAATATAGAAGTTAGAGAGGTCATTAGTGCTGATAACATTACTGCTAACATCATACCACGGGCACCTGCAAACAGAACGAGTGCATTGCCATTTAACTATTGATGACTGATATGCCTGCTATTCCCACAGGAAAAATACATTCTCCACATTTGTAATGATTATAGAAAGCTCCCAAATATTGCATATTATATAAAAGTTTAGATTTTTAGTAGCTCTGGTTTGTTGGTTGGTAGATGACAAGTTAAGGCCCTCTTCCAGCAGAAGCTGATATCACAGAAACTGTTCATTTCAGTACCGAAAGTTACCTCCAAATGATGATCCGGTCATGTCTTACTGAAACACCTGGAAGGTATAGATCTCGGACCTCCAGGTTAGTAAGCATTCACTGCCAACTCTCCAAGAAACGATTGAGCTTAAGGGAAGGTGGGATATGATTCTTCCAAATGGGGATACGTGGATAAACCTACCTGCTGGTAATAGATGTATAACTAACAATGGATAAGCTATATTACTACAACTTGAAGGACTTCCACAAACTTCCATACACGACTCGGCATCCGCACAACCAACTGAATCTGTAGATTAGAAATTATAATGAAAGTGTTAACTAAACCTGAAGACTTTAAATTACTTAGTAAACCTAATACAGCCGAACACGAGAGCTGTAACAGGTCCTTCAAGGTTCCTACAGATGGTTCGATTTCACAACTTAATAAATAATTACACTGATAAAACATTTAGAATGCTAATAGTTACAAAATAGTATGGACAATTAGCACCATTCCCGTCTGGAACATGATTGAAATAGGGCTAATCTCAAAGGGTCACAGTTCCACCCAACTGAGGCCTCTTTGCCTCACAGAAGCAACCTACTCCAATACTTGCGCCTTCATCGGTATACCTTACAGAAGCAACCTACTTGCACTTTCTTCGGTATACCTCACAGTGGCAACATACATGTACCTTCTTCTGTATACCTCACAGAGGCAACATACATGTACCTTCTCCGTTATGCCCTACAGTGGCAATCTACTTATGTCATGTACTGATCCACCTACCAGTAAACAGGATCCTAGCTATCATACCAGGAAATATCAATAAAAATAAACCAAATGACTTGATAAAACCACATAAAATTGCACCAGCTTTAGCATGGTCGTAATTTTTAGCTGCCAGAGTTCTCTGTACTATCACCTAAAAATGAAACATGGTATGGTCAAAAGGATGAGAAGCACACTAAGAACACTATAAATACCAATTACATAGTTTGAGGAACTGTGGCATCTTACCACTTTAACTACGCTCCACTGTAAATGATCACAATTTATTAAAAATCATTGTCACATAAATCTTTGACAATTATTCTCTTCTTGTCATCAAGTTTATTGTGTGTTTTTCTATTTCTATATTTTGATGATAATCAAACAAATTTTCATCTAACCGATCGGGTTCTTGTATCAAACCTAATGTAACACAGCAAAATAGGTGCAAATTAAATGGCGAATGTTGCTATCAATATGATCATTCATGTTTGAAAAGGAATTAAGGTACCTGACCTGATCAGAGCACCAATACCATATAGAATTAATGGTCACACCAAACAACCCAGGCCACGGGAGATCACCTGTACGAGGATCTCGTAGTAGATGCATGTAGTCGTCTCTGGGAGCTCCACATGTACCAGCTGTAGAGTTATTGATGGAGGTAGAATAGTTGGACGAGAAGTTTTCATGATTAAAGCTTGTATTAGCAATAGCTTGAGGATATTTCTCTACCATAGCATGGAAACCCCCTACCTCATTAAATCCTGAAAGATTGTCAAATTAAATCTTTACATCATATTTGTTCAGTGCTGGGTGTTACCTATGAATTATCCACCACCGCTTTGATGTATGAATAGAGTCATGTCATCTCAAATACGCTATGGAATCAATCATAATAAGCCTACGAGTTCCATAAATCACATATCCCTTGTCAACAGAATAGAAACTTACATAACACAAAATTATGATAGAAGAAAAATCAACATCTATAGTTTTTTTATATAAAGGCAAATTACTAGTACTTAAATACATGAGAATACATGACGTTATGTCACATAGACTCTTTGAACAAAGAGTAATTACCACATACAATACAGGGTTCTGTAGCACAGTTGGTTAGAGCGTTGGTTCTGTGCATTAAGTCTAACAAATGGTGATCGTGGGTTTAAGTCTCGGTCGGCGTGTGCAAGTCTGATGACCTTGAATAAGTCATCTTCACTCATAATTCCAGTCAACTCCGCTGTTAATGGGTACCGATGTCAAGATATTTGGCCAAGGACCCACTGATAGAAACAATCTTTAGTGGCTATCCTTGTAAAATTTAGTTGTTTCGCTTTTGATTTCTTTTCTCATCGGGTAGTAAATTGCTAGAATTGAAGTATTAGATATGAAGACAGTCTCGTGTGGTTAATGTGTATTCATTCAGTTTAGAAGCCAACACTTACCAATGACCATGAGGACAAAAGCACCAACTAACATAATAATAGTCTGAGCAAAGTCAGTCCAAATTACAGCAGTTAACCCACCTGCAATGACAAACAGCATGGAGTTTATACATAAAAAGTTTTTGTATCTGGAATGTCAAAACGAATTAAAATATTTAATAACGGTTGTTTTGCATCTTTACTAGAGAATGGAAATATTGCAGTTCGTGTCACACTGGTCTTCACTGATAATCTTATGAAACGGATTGAAATGATTAACTGAGATGCTCTATTATTGTATGAATGATGCAATGTACGTTCATAACAGAATCCTTGGATAGGGAAAGTTAGGGCTATAAAACTGTCTTTTGCAATTATAAGTATTCATATTTCTGAATTTCCAGCCACGATTTTAATGAATCTTATTCAAACTTTAAACGCTAAAATCCAAACTAAAGCAAGTAAACATTTCTACAGGCTGTTGGAGGAAGGGCTTTAAAAGAAACAGTGTCATACCAGTTATTGTAAAAAGAGCAGCTATACTGAGTAGAAGTAATAAGGCACCGTACATATCCCAACCTAGAGACTGTTCAATAAATATTACACCCGAATATAAATCAGCCTGCAATAAGATGACAGTTGATAAATATATATTTCATCTCAACAGAAAATATAATATAGGTATTTGAAAAATATTCAAAAAGAACAAAACCGTTACGAAGCCATCCCAAGTAAAGATACCCAGCATTCTTCCAACTGCCGAGACAATCAAACTATCACAACGTCTGCTTCTGCTGGCCGAAAACCCATCGATTGATAGGGTTCTAGACAGTCCCGCCCCCACGTACATGGATATAAGGTAGACATTCTCTTGGTGAAAAATATTCGGAAAATGTGAGTAAACGGTTGTCATGGATCATCCTAGATCTCGTGGATTGCACAAACAAGTTGCTGGATGTAGCTAAGTATAGGTTTCCTGTTGAGATTTATTGGCACTTCTGGATCCCCTTTGTTAAGCAATGCTATGGTCCTTAAAAATGTTCCAAGAAATAACTTACTGATATTTTGGTAAAGACATAGACTAATATAGCTAATACCGCTAGACAAACTTGCATTCTATCTCTACCAAATCTTCTATGTAGATATTCCGGCATGGTAAACACCTGCAAAATATTGACATTATCGATATGGTCGACTAACTCGCTTTTTATAAGCCTTGTATCTATTGTCTCCACAGTGTCTGGTAGCTGGTATCCACTTGCTATCAATAATGGTGTTCTCACTTTGAAGGTTTTCATTCAATTTGGAGCGTATAGGAAGGGGCATAGAATTCAATTACCGGTATGATCTTTTCTGGGAATACAAAGAATACTTACCCCGGAAGCAATATAAACGGGTAAAAATACATAACCCAATAGTAACACCACAAATATTGCCTGGAAATAAATAATTGTAACCATCAGAAAAAATGGATAATTTCAGAGATATCAATAGACATGTTCCCTTCGTAATAGTGCACGGCGTTTTGCTGTGAAAGCAATGGTTAGATGTGATAAACGTCGTACATCGTTGTTGATGATCGATGGGTGACAATTACTGATCTTTGTTGTTCACAAATGCATGATCTATTCACGATGAAATATAGATACAGTAATACGGACTAGAATAATAATGACTACTGCAAGGAATGCGTACATTGAGTTCATAATTACCAACACCAATGCCACCCGCGGCAGCAGAACCGGCTAATCCTACAAAATGTAGACTTCCAATATTACTGGCGTACAGAGATGCTCCAATCTGAAATATCAAAGATATACGATTAACAACGGTCCATTCGTCTCACGTTTCTATATATATATATATATATATATATATATATATATATATATATATATATATATATATATAACCCATAGTCACCATGTCAAATACCACCAAATACCATGTGGACTCTCTACAGGAAAGAAAACAAATTGGCTTGAGGTTGTTTTGAGGTTATTTGCACCATGCTGCAACTTCAAGTTCGAAATTGGTAATAATCGGTTGAACGGTGTCAGAGTTATTGCTCTTGACATAGTAAAAAAGCGCCAAATTGGATTGTAGTGGGCGTATGTTACCTTGCCTGGCAAGCTATCTTTAAAGTTTTTGGTAAACCCCCTACACCATCTACCAAACAATGTGTTGAAAGTTCCTTTTATTCTAATGTCAATTTGGAAAACTTTGTGTATTGGACAGTTGAAATACGAGCTTTGTGAGAACAAAACGAAATCAGACAAAATTACTCGACTGTACAGGTAAAAGTGGTTGTTTTAGACCAGGTAAATTGAACGGTTAAATAGAACACCTGGGATGTCAATCATTCCAGCTAATTATACTTGTCTAGATATACTTTACTATAGATTGTATTTAGTTTGAAAATATACCATGGTATTTAGAGTATACTGCACTAGTTGTCTTGTACTCGGTATAATCGTTTTAAATATTAGCTAGTGCACTACCCTTATAACTCCAGGCAGTGTTTCTGAGAGTTGGTCCAGTGTTGGTATTCAACCCCTATCACCAGCATCATGAACTCGCACTGATTACTTTGATCATCTGAGACATTCGTGTCCTAATATTCTACACTTTAGAGGAATGATTTATTAATGATCAGTCTGCAATGAGGGCAAAATCAATCGACAATTTTTTAGATCTTCATCCGTTCACAGTCATTTCATTAACATTTATCGGATGGCTTTTCTTGAAACTCTTCTGAAACAATGAAGGTTATTGCAGACTAAGCATATCAACAAAATTGAAAGTAGTATATAGTAATAAAATGTTACAGTATATCAGGTTCACTTCCCTCACTGATTCTCAGCCAGACTGAATGAATCTGTTTTTTTACGTCTATTGACGTGTGTATTTTATCTTTTGTAAACATCAATTGAAATGAATGAGTTAAACGCCCAGCTGTTATACACCTAGTCAACTGATAAATACACTTACAATATGAAATTGATAGTGAAATGAAATATGTAGTATTAAGACCGTTGATTTCGCTTACTTAGATAAACAAAGAACGTCTTGCAGTGTTCGGTGAGGAAAATTTTTTCCAGGGTAGCAGCACTAACCAACTGATTTGACGTGAAGAACTTTATTTGGTAATTTTATTCGTAGAACATTATTGGGTTGGGTATCTTTTTGAATTAAGTGAGAATGTTTTCAGTTATACGGCTTGAATCAGGTTATCGAACATCCATCGATGGATTCATTTGAGATTTATTTAATATCTGTATAACTTTCTGGCTATAGATACGTGTGAGTAATAGTAATACTTGCTTATTGTGATTCTCTACCAAGACAAAATGTATATTGAAGCGTCGGATTATGATATATATCAGATATATTTTTCATATCAATTCACTGTAATGTCCCCATGGTTGCATGTTAGACCGAAACATCTGCCCCTATTCCAGGCAGTACCAGTAGAGCCAATAACTTTCATTATCTATCAGGGGCTGGAATAGACGCAGATGTTTTGGACCAGACATGACCATGTCACCTTCTTGTACTGGACCTATTCTGACCCATGTAGTAAAATGTAGTTTATTGGTATAATATTATAATATATCATGACAAAGCTGTTATCTGATGTTTCACTGACCCGGCCTTGATACCAGCCAGGTATTTATAACCTTATCTTTCAAGAAAGTGGATTAGTGTTCTGTAATTATATTATGTGTTTTCCAAATCATATAAGACGGTCATTGTACTGTTTTTCTGAGGACAGGCTGTAATGCAGTCGATTAGATCTTTGAAATCGTTACGAGTCATCAATTGCTTGTCAAGTCGAACAAATGATGGTCGTTGATTCTTTTTTTCGGTGTGATATTCCAGTAACATGAACTCATGTCAATCCAGTGGTAAATGAGTACGGATAATCATGAATTCCCCCCAAAATGGCAAGAACAATTTTATTGGCTGTTAGTAAGCCGTTAGGTTTATGGGACAGCATATCTAAAGTTGGTCAAAACTTTGTAAGGGATGAGTGTGTTACAAAAATAATAATCTATACATAATTAATTTGTGTTTTTTTTATAATTTTATACATAAATTCTGTAAATGAATCACACCAGATCACTCTTGTTTCACGACAACCGTCACACCCGTGCCGGTTGCACGGAATACGCCTTTGTCAATTGTTAAACAATATCATATAAGTATATAATAAACATATTATGCAGAAACTCATTGGAATTTCATTAGCTTCTCCTGCAGACTCACTGTCTGATATTTGCACGAAGTTTAAACGGAGCAGGAGACATAGTTATTCCCGACAAGCCATCTGTATTCAGATCATCATTTTCATCAACTTTACTCAGTCGGTATCTCTGTATTATAGACGTAAAGAAGAGGAACAACTCCATTTTAGCCAGGATATCACCAGGACAGGATCTGGGACCAACTGAAAACGGCATGAAGGATGCAGGATGCTTGACAAGTTTGCCATCTTGATCTAAGAATCGATCTGGGTTGAATTTCAAAGGTTCTGTCCATACTTTGGGGTCTCGGTGGCATGCATATGTATGAGCGAACACCAAACTATCGGCTGGAACAAGGTACCCCTTCACCATGGTGTCTTTCAGTGGTGTATGTGGGACGGCAAAGGGGGCAATGCTTCCAAGTCTCTGAGCTTCCAGTAACGTTGCTTCAACGTACGGAAGCTTCTGACGATCTGACATGTCGATCTTCCGATTTTGTCCCACAATTTCGTCGATTTCTTTTTGACACTTTGACTGGACATCTAGGTTAAGGATCACGTAAAGAAACGCCCAGGTCAAGGAACTGGCAGTGGTGTCAGAACCCGCTATGAAAAAATCGACAATGGTCCTCTCCAAACCACCCTGATCACTCGGATTCTTACCGATCTGCGTGAACACAGCATCAATAAAATCACGAATGAATTCAGGACTGTATGTTTCTTCGTGTCCTTTGACCCTTTCATGGACGTGTTCCTTTATTCTTTGAATGCTTTTTTGGAGGACGGTAAATTTTTTGGATAGAATCGGTAGGAATCTCAGCGCAGAAAATTCGTGAATAGGTGAAAAAGATCCTTCACTCTGAAACGCCGATTCCATCACACCTACAATTTTCTTCATTTCTGGATCATTATATTCCCAGCGTGATCCGAACACAACGATACTGATAATATTAGTAGTAGCCTTTATTAGAATCTCTCCGATATCAAGCGGCTCGTTATTTTTAAACGTGTCCATGAGAAATTCTGCCTCTTCTTGTATCCGTTCTTCAATGGCCAATTTCCCGACTCCCAAATCCCGTAGGGTTTGTATGGCCATACGTCTATGTGATCTCCATTCCGAATCATTGGCCCATATCACACCTGCTCCATCCGTTATAGATTGTTTGACTCCCCATAACAATTCTGAAGGTCTCTTGCTTAAAATATCCTTCTGTTTAACAAACGCCTCGTCTACAGCGTCGACGTCATTGAGAACTATCATCAATTTGGATCCCAAATACAGCCTGAAAACTGGCCCATATTTCTCTTTCAGTTCACTGAAATAAAGATGTTTCTGTCGTCTATGTCGACCGAGGTCCAAAATGTTGCCGAGGATTGGTAAAAATGATGGACCTGGGGGAATTCCTGGTTTCTCCCGTGTACACATCCAATATCCCGTTATGGCAAATACAATCAGTCCGATTAATACTGATGTTAAGTCTATATAAGAATAAACGTGGTGCATGTTGTCCAACATTTTGTTATTGACTTGCAACGAACACTAATACAAGTAATGTATTATCTGTAACAGCTTATTAATTCATCCACAATGCTCAGTGTATTTATCATTACTTTCATCTGAATCTCAGTGTTATTCACGGTTCGTTTAAACGACGCCACAATCCACATTCATTGACCTCATTTAGTGGTATAAATATATGTGTATACATACAACTATTGCTAAGACATCACGTGATTCAAGATAAATTTCTCTATCATAATTGCTGAACTCTTCACCTTAATCGGGGTTTCAAACTGTAGATATTGTTTTTGTACGTTAGAATGGGGCAATAATCTATATTCTAGAGGTTGTGCAAGTGAAACTCTAAAATGAATAGGTTACGATTTAAACAATATTTATATTCCATACATACATGAGTAATGGTTTCAGAAACAAAACCGTATGTTATGTACTTCTTATGATTTTCGTTATCACCACAGACCTAACCCTGCTTCAAACAGGTCATTATGTTTCTATTTTTACAGTATTCATAGTATATTAAACAGTTGAGTCATGTTTGATTAAGGGGATCTCGTGTCAACTATTGCAGCCTACTGCAAAACCACACCTCAACGAATAATTAATATTTATCTTCAAAGACTCATCTCTATTACGATATTCCTGAATGACTGCCAGTTTTGAGTTCTGAGTTTGAGATCAATGGTGCAATATTTATTATGCATGGGTTGATCAGCCACACATTAAGCCACTGTCACAAAAAAAATTACTCATGTATGTATCGATTTGCGGAGAGCTTTTTATTTGTTCAAACTCTCTTCTCACAAATTTTTTAGAGTTTCGAGAGTGAAGTAGGGTGGACCAATATTCACCTCGTCTTTTTCTTATTTTTATAAATAACCTTGAAAATATCGCAATAACCCCGACTTGAGGACTTTGCTCTCTTAGGTTCAACAGCTTAATTAAAGCTAAGATTTTTAAATCTTAGAGACAGTCTTGTCCACCAGCAGAGTCGTTGTCTTCATAAAACGTCCTCAATAGATTTATTCGTTTTGTGTTTTAACCGTTTTACCCTCCACTTGTAGGGGTTGAAGCCTTTTAATCGTTTTCTTATTTATATTACTATACAGGTTAAAATCTAGGACAATATATCGTATATACATAGTATCAAGTATATATTTGCCGTTCCACTGATATATTCATAACATTTCAAAGCGTAATGTTGTGTTCTACTTTCGTACCAATATTTATATACAAGGACGGACGAAGCAGACAATTGAAAGCAAGACGGTTTGATCGAACGTAAAAGAGGATAATACATGTAAAGATACAAATTATATAACAGTCCCGGATAATAATAACAAAATCTTAAGTACACAATGAACTATTCAAGGTCAAGGCTATTCAACAAAGATAGGTGAGAAGGGCCTGTTCTTAAGTCTGGATTAGCAGTTGATTATAGCATAATGACTAATTGGTGTGATTCTTATCAACAAATAATTCTGATGTAACAACTTGATTGATTTTCATCAGACACGGTATTAGCAGATTTCGTTTCGGCGTGACACGTGTTGTGTAAATATAAATGATTCAAGGGGGTTATGAAAGCCACAAGTTTGAATGAGAGTATTCATGTTGTGCGACACATATAATGAACTATTGAGTTATATCAGTAACCGTACTAGTGTATATGAGTATTAACACACTGTCGGCGATTAAAACTCAAAGCAGTAGGTCAAAACTTCATAGAGAAGTGAATCAGTGTTCTGTGCCAGAAGATGTTGGACTTTATTTACCTCGTGTTTTCTTATATTGACTTGACCACTGTCATAATCGGACTGGTTGTATTTGCGATAATAGGATATTGGATGTGTATACGAGAGAAAACAGGTATACCACCAGGTCCTCCATTTTTACCAATCCTCGGCAACATATTAGATCTCGGTCGACATAGACGTAACAAACATCTTTATTTTACTGAACTGAGAGAGAAATATGGGCCAGTTTTCAGGCTGTATTTTGGATCAAAGTTGATGATAGTTCTCAATGACGTCGACGCTGTAGACGAGGCGTTTGTTAAACAGAAGGATATTTTAAGCAAGAGACCTTCAGAATCTTTGTGGGGAATCAAACAATCTATAAAGGAAGGAGCAGGTGTGATATGGGCCAATGATTCGGAATGGAGATCACATAGACGTATGGCCATACAGACTCTACGGGATTTGGGAGTTGGGAAATTGGCCATTGAAGAACGGATACAAGAAGAGGCAGAATTTCTCATGGACAGGTTTAAAAATAACGAGCCGTTTGATATTGGGGAGATTCTAATAAAGGCTACTACTAATATTATCAGTATCGTTGTGTTTGGATCGCGCTGGGATTATGATGATACAGAAATGAAGAAAATTGTTAGTGTAGTAGAATCGGCGTTTCAGAGTGAAGGTCCATTGTCACCTCTTCACGAATTTCCTTTCTTGAGATTTATACCCGTTCTCTCCACGCGATTGACTGTTATACGCCAGGCTATTATAAACATAAAGCAACTTGTTAAAGAAAGGGTCAACGTTCACCAAGAAACATACTCCCCTGGAGTCATTCGTGATTTCATTGATGCTGTGTTTACGCAACTCGGTAAGAATCCTGAAAGTGACCCGGGTGGTTTGGAGAGGACTATTGTGGACTTTTTCTTTGCGGGTTCAGATACCACTGCCAGTACCCTTTCCTGGGCGTTTCTTTACATGATCCTTAACCCAGATGTCCAGTCAAAATGTCAAAAAGAAATCGACGAAGTTGTGGGACAAAATCGGAAGATCAATATGTCAGATCGACAGAATCTCCCGTACGTTGAGGCAACGTTATTGGAAGCTCAGAGACTTGGGAGTATTGCTCCTTTTGCCCTCCCACATACACCACTGAAAGACACCATGGTGAAGGGGTACCTTGTTCCAGCCGGTAGTTTGGTTTTAGGTCATATTTACGCTTGCCATCGAGACCCTAAAGTATGGACCGAACCTTTGAAATTCAACCCAGATCGATTCTTAGATGAAGATGGCAACCTTGTCAAGCATCCTGCATCCTTCATGCCGTTTTCAGTTGGTCCCAGATCCTGCCCTGGTGATATTCTGGCTAAAATGGAGTTATTCCTCTTCTTTACGTCTATAATACAGAGATACCGACTGAGTAAAGTTGATGAAAATGATGATCTGAATACAGATGGCTTGTCGGGAATAACTATGTCTCCTGCTCCGTTTAAACTTCGTGCAAATATCAGACAGTGAGTCTGCAGGAGAAGCTAATGAAATTCCAATGAGTTTCTGCATAATATGTTTATTATATACTTAGTAAAGTTGATGAAAAAGATGATCTGAATACAGAAGGTTTCTCGGGAGTAACTTTGTCTCCAGCTCACTATAAACTACGTGCCAATGCCAGACACTGAGATAAGGGCCTCGATATTTACAGGGTTAATTAGCAAGTGTTATGAACATTTTGTTTCCAACTTTTATTTCAATTTATGTTAATTTTAATATCACAGGAAATCCTACAGTCAATAGTTTCATGGCCTCGTCTTTGCTTTGTTAGTGATAATTTGATGTGAATTGAGAAACAATAAATTCCTGAAAAGCAAAACAAAAATCAGTTCATCTAGATTTCAGGTTAAATGAAATGGAATGGAGTTTTACGTCCTACTTTACTGCACCGTGTGGGCTAATGAAGACGGGCAACGCCATGCAGGGTGCAATGAGGGAAATTTTGCCAGGACAGCGGCAAATCGAAATTTTCGATTTCCAACTGTCCAGGGGTCTTTAACGTGCACAGCCTGTAGCACACGGGGCCTCGGTTTATTGTCCCATCCGAACGACTAGACGCTTTTTCCATGTCAGCCCCACGTACCTGCATCACTGACAGGGGGGAAACCGGGTTGAAAAATCCGAAGGTATTATCTCGACCTATGCCTGGATTGAACCCTGGACCTCCAGGTTAGCGAGCAAGCGTCTAACTCACTGAAATGAAATGAAATGTATTAAGGAGCATCAGCACCAAACGGGCTATATAGCTCAAGAATACGTTAAAATAATGAAAAAACTAAAACAATAAAACACCTATCAATATCACAGAAAGGTCACATAGTGATAAAAAAAAAACAAAAACAAAAAAAACCATATCACAGAAACAGTCATTTAATGACTACAAAAAAAACACTAAAAACAATATCACAGGTACTACACCACATGGTGGTATTAAAAACAAACAAAATATTTAAAACAAACAATGACTAATCTATTTAAAATTTAAAATAAAGACCGACTTTTTTGAAAAAAGCGACAACCTTTTCATAAAGAGAAGGTTGCGCAAATAATTGATGTAAAGATCCATCACGGTAGTGCTGGTATCTCAAAGGTTTGAGATGCTTGCACTCAATCAGAATGTGTTTCACTGTCAGGCGGACCTGGCAGTGCTCACAGACTGGTTGAGGCTCTCGCTTGAGCAGATAACAGTTGGTGAGGTGAGTATGTCCAAGACGAAAGTCTCCTAGGAGAGGCTTAATGGCATGAAGCTTGTTAGTGTCTGCAGCATCCCATCTTTGCTGCCATCGATGTTGAATAAAAATCCTTATCACCGATTTAAAATCGGTGAAAGGCAAAGAAAAGGGGGAAACAGGCAGTGACAAAGCAGCCTTAGCCACCGCATCTGCCATGTCATTTCCCCGTATATCCATGTGACTGGGGAGCCAACAAAGGACAATGTCCTTTTTCGGCCCAGAGAGCTTGTATATATCCCCGATTATTGGGTGTACAAGCTGGATGTTATAAATAGCTTGTAATGAGGACCAAGAATCAGACAATATAATACATTTTTTGAATGATGTAGAGGACCGGAAGAACTCAAGTGCCTGTAGAATGGCAATGAGTTCTGCTGTGAAAATGGAGGCTGCTGATGGAACTTCGGATGGTGTAACTGTAGCGGCTGCTACCTGATCCATCTGTATAGAAAGGTGAGTAATCCCCATATTTAGATTGAAACACTATAGAGCTTGTCTGAGTTTTCTTATTGCTCAATAGACTGAAGTCTATCTGAAATGGAGCAATCGACCACGGTGGAGTTGTGGTCATTACGAAGTCCGCAATACTGTCGTGGCTTATACCAGCCGCTGACATAAGGGGTTGAATGCGGACTCCAAAAGAAGAAACAGCACGAGGCTTTGCCTCGTACAGGTGTTCAAAGTAAGGTCTAAATACGGGGCAGTAAGCAGGATGTTGTGGCAATGATGCTATCTTGATAGCGTACTGCAATGAAAGCCTGTAACGTCTGTCGTACAATGAGGGCTCATTAGCCTCGACGTACAAAATTTCAACTGGAGTAGTGCGAAACGCACCTAAACTGATTCTAAGTCCTTGATGGTGTATGGTATCAAGCTCTTTGATATAGGATGGACGAGCTGATCCATACACCTGACACCCATAGTCGAGCTTGGAACGAACCAAAGCTCGATACAATCGGAGGAGGACCTTTCGGTCGGCTCCCCAGTCAGTATTGGATAAGACTCTCAGTATGTTGAGAGCTTTCAGACATTTGTTCTTGAGGATTTTAATATGGGGACGAAAAGAAAGCTTGCTGTCAAAAGTGAGTCCCAAAAATTTAAATTCCCGCACAACAGGAATGACAGCACCATCCAGCTTTAGTTCTGGATCTGGTGGAATCCTTTTCGTTTACAGAAATGCATGCAGACGGTCTCGGATTTCGAAAACCTAAATCCATTGTCAGTTGCCCATTGCTGTAAGTTGTTTAAGCAAAGCTGCAACTGACGCTCAATCGTCTGCATGTTTGTAGAGCCATAAAACATCTGAAAGTCATCAACATACAGAGAGCCATCAACCCCTCGTCTAAGGCACGACGTGATGGAATTAATTTTAATAGAGAACAGGGTAACAGATAATATGCTACCCTGTGGAACTCCATTATCCTGAGGAAGAGGATCTGAAAAAATGGAGCCAAGTCGAACCTTAAACGTCCTATCATGTAGGACATTGGAGATGAATAATGGCAATCTTCCTCTGAGACCGAAGTCAAAGATATCACGAAGAATGCCATATCTCCAAGTGGTGTCATAAGCCTTCTCCAAATCAAAGAATATGGCTACAAGATGTTTATTTTGGATGAAGGCATCCCTGACAAACGATTCAAATCTAACGAGATGATCAAGAGTGCTCCTTTGGGACCGAAATCCACATTGGAGGTTGGTAAGAAGATTGTTTGACTCAAGGTGCCAAACGAGCCTTCGATTGATCATTCGTTCCATGGTTTTACAAATGCAGCTGGTTAATGCAATAGGGCGGTAATTAGTAGGATTCGTAGGATGTCTAACTCACTGAGCCACCGCGGCTCCCTAGATTTCAGGTTAACAAACTAGTGTAATCTTACTTGTTTTTGAAATTTGTATGCAGATTTAAATTCAATTTGTTTTAATTTTAATATCATTGGAAATCATACAGTTAATAGTTCCTTGGTCCCCGGTCTACAGCTTTGCTAATTGATAAATTGTTATGGGGAACAAAATGTGTCAAGTTATCAAAACTACATATTATGTCTTTGAAATATGTATGCAAGTTTTAAGTAAATAGATTTTTTAGTTTAATACCTTTAGGGAATTTTAAAGTGAATCGTTCTCTTACTTAGAGCCGTCTACAGCCTCGTTGAGTACTTTTGATGTACTATACTCTGATCATTAAAAAATAATGTGGCCATCACGGATGAGCGGGTCAAAAATAATAGTCGTTCTACAATGACATGAGGTTTATCTCAAGCGCAACAAAAACAATTTTCATTTACCCTTGGTAAAATACACGTGTTTACCCTTGCAATTGCATTTATGACTTTCACAAAGTCTGCTAAAACATTTTATTTCTGTAATTATTGCATCTTTAAAATCGTCGACTAAACATAATTAGTACATAAAATATGTTAAACACCCATTTTTCTGAATGGGTCATTAGTAAAAGTCTTTGCATGACTTTTTACTGCTTTTGCATCTTAGACAGAGAGAAATCAGATCTATCCAGAAACAAGTACTTCTGTACCCAAACATTATCCTTGATAAAGATCAGATCGACCTAATAATATGAATTTATGACCTGCAACATTATGTAATACATAACCTACTAGCTGTCTGCAATACATTGAAGTTGATAACCTACTGGCTGTCTTATGTCCTTAAATAATCAGCTATAATTTAATCAACTACATATACCCGTCATAATCATAGGTGGGTCATTAGGTGATAGTACTAGACCTGTATCAACACACACGCCAAGGTCTGATCAAGCAGCTGTGGTAATAAGAAAATTCACAAATAATTTTTGCAAGTTAAGCAGAGATGATAACATATAAGTTTATATGTATGGTGTAAGCATACCAACAAAATAATAGATCTATGATTGTAATGTATAACATGATACGTCTTCGTTTGATAGCCACGAGCTATGTTGCCTTCCACAATTACGTATGACTTATATTGCCTTCCACAATTACGTATGACTTGTGTGTTTATGCAGTATTCTATTGGACGTTCGCAATCCCCCAATGCGACTTCCAATATTTTTATGAAAATACAACTACAATGTTGATGGATTTTTACGTTGCAATTTTGGTCTGTTGTGGATTCATTTTTGCGGCGTTACCCGAATGGACAAGAGCCAATATGTGATCATACACCAATCGTTTCTGGTACCACTATCGCCTACAGGTACCAGATGTAATCATTAAATCCTTCATTCGAGAAGATTGTCCTCTAAAAAGAATCTTGGTTGTAAAGATCTGAAGGTTAGTATTCCACAGATGTATAAGTATTCAGTATAGCAGATGACAATCACTCTAGAGCTATGGAGTGGAGGTGGAATTAAACTTAACTTACCGGTATCCAGTTCATATTTCTTCCCGCCAAAAAATATCCTCCAGCACTGCCACGGTTCCTCCGTGAACTCTGAAAGGAAAATACTAACATAATTTTAATCTATTTAAGGACAAAATCGTTTGAGGATTTCGGGGAGTTTTCCCATCCCGAAAAAGGGTTTTAATATTAAGTCTTGTTTGTGTAAAACGCGGGCATCCACGAATTGGGTCATTAGAATTTTTTAAATACCTAATTAGAGTTTCAAACTGGAAGTTATCATGTGAAGCAGACTGGATAATTGGATTAGATTCAATTTAAACAATAAGCATCATCGGTACATGGACAAAAACTGCGCATTCCTGGCGTGTATTACTTTACAGTTTTTTG